TATATAACGCGACGCTGCTCGCTCCTAAGGCGCTATCTGTGTGCTTAGTGCGAGATTTTAACTTGTCGATCGCGTAGTGGGACGTCTTGTGAGTCCGCACGGGTAGGCACCACCACCCTGCCTATTTCTGCCGTGAAGCAGTAATGCGTTTCGGCTTGAAGGGTGGGGCAGCCGTTGTGACTATACTTGAGACCTTAGAACTTATATCTCAAGATGGGTGGCACATTTACGTTGTAGATATCTATGGGCTCCAGTAACCACTTAACACCAGGTGGGCTGTTAGCTCGTCCATCCTTCTAAGCAATAAAAAAAAGCGTAAAAGTTAACTCAAATTTGTATGGAGTTGGAACAGCATCCCTTCGTTTTTTTTTCATTGCCCTTGTAGGCAGACGAGCATACGGCTCACCTGACGGTGAGTGGTTACCGTCGCCCGTGGACTTCAGCAATGCCAGGGGCAGAGCCAAGACGCTGCCTATCGTTTGTCGCTAGGGGCGATTTTACGCGATCGAGAAGTTACAAAACTCGCACTAGGCACACTGATCAAAGAACGCAAATGCCTCCGCGTGACGAAAATACGTATCTAAAAATGCATAAGAGAGAAAGAGAGAGGCAATTCAAATCCGGTGGTAGATTCAGCGAAGCATTGCTCTGGCTAGGGTGGTAGGGTGGTATTGTCAGCAAATTATTTAAGGTTCTCTGGCTAGGGCAGTATTATCAGCAAATTCTTTAAAGTTGAGCCCGTGAGCTCTCCTAGTAGCCGGAATAGCCCTTTAGGCTACCAGTAGGGAAAAAAGGGTAAGAGCATAATTAGCATTGAAAATCAGACGGGTATAAATTGTAAAACAACCGTTTTCCCGTGAGGAAGCTCTCCAAAAGAACCAGCTGATATGTTCCGTGAACTAATAACGTATATTTTAAAGGCAGGGCAGTTAAAACCCGATCGCATAAAAATATGTAGGTACTTGCCATTTAAAATAAATCATGTGATTGCCAACGCAAAATAAGCTATGTTATTAATGTCAACAAAGACAAATCGGTAGTAGTGTTTAAATTGCACATAAATATTAGCGTTTCGTTCGTCAGAAATAATATGGTGACAATAAAAAATACGTTTTTTTTTTAAATCTATGGGTGGACAAACTCACGGCCCATCTGGTGTTAAATGGTTACCGCAGTCCATAGACAGCGACAACGTGAATGCCGCCACTCACCACGCAACATGAGTTCTAAGTCTCTGTTTTTACAGTTCAACGAGTGCCCCGCAGTTCAACTGCCCCGTCTTGGGCATGACGTGGGAGGAGCTAGAACAGACTGCCCATGCAAATGGAAGGATTCGAATCGAGCCCTACACCCCAGCAGAGGGTAATAGGAAGGACAGAAGAAGAAGAAGAAGGACCAACACTACGGAATCAAGATGTGTTCTTTAAAATCATTGTGCGGACTCACAATACGCCCCGATCGAATCAGAAATGAGGAGATCCGTAGAAGAACCAAAGTTGCTGATATAGCCCGTAGATTTGCACGCTGAAGTGGCAGTGGGCAGGCCACATAGCGCGAAGATCGGACGGCCGATGGGGCAGAAGGATCCTCGAGTGGAGACCACGTACTGGCAAGCGCAGTGTGGGACGGCCACTTATGAGATGATGACAATACGCCCCGACCACTGGTAATAAACAATACAAATCATAATTTTGCGGGTTCGTTTTTATTACACGATGTCATTCCATCAGCGTGGAAGTCAAACGTGAACATTATCGTCTTATCCCGTAGGCGAGGACGATTCAATTATGTTTACGTCTCGGGTTAACCCAAGTAGTAACACATGCGTTTTGTATTCCGGCCACGAATCAATCGGAATCTGGTTTTGAAAGGCGCGCCAGTAAATTTTACAATCCAACCTTCGACCCCACCTCACACTGGATGGTGTTGACGTTACTAAGTGCAGTTTGGGAACCATTTGCTGTTCACTCTGACTGTAGAGCAGTGTGTTTATTGCGACTTTTTTAACGTTCTCGATAACGTCAAAGTAAACTCCAATTTGTATGGAGGCGAAACGTTTAGCTACGTTTGCCGCTAGGGGCGCTGTTTCAACTACATACGAATTCGAGTTAACTTTTACGTTATCGAGAACGTTAAAAAATAGCACACTAGCTGCCTGTGTCCAGGGGGATTTGCGCGATTTACCAGGTCATCGGTTTTTTTTTATTTTTTTATTGCCCTTGTAGGCAGACGAGCATACGGCCCACCTGATGGTGAGTGGTTACCGTCGCTCATGGACTTTATTTCACTGAGATGCCTACCCACTGACTTGTCCAGTGCGCGATTGCCACTCGAGTTTGGCCTCAAAGGCCATATGTTCTAGGACCAATATGGCCTACCGACAATCAGTTCGGAACCCCATACCCGCCCACATACGATTCGGAAGATAATATTTTCGTTATACGATGCTGTTGTTTTTTTTTATTGCTGAGTTGGGTGGACGAGCTCACAGCCCACCTGATGTTATGGGGTTACTGGAGCCCATAGACATCTACAACGGCTGCCCAACCTTTCAAACCGAAACGCATTACTGCTAATAGGCGGGGTGGTGGTACCTACCCGCGCGGACTCACAAGAGGTCCTACCACCAGTAACACAAGAGGTCCTACCACCAGTAATAATTGTGCATCTAGTTGTGATTTTTGTTGTCTCGTCTGTCCGTTTCCGGGACCCATAACCCTGGAGGCAAATCGGAGTCCGGGTTCGATGAACTGGGAACGTTTATTTGTAGCCGGCGTCCGTCCGGCGATCGAAAATTCGACTTTAATCACTGACGTTTCAAGATCTAGATTCGTTTGTGTCACAATTCGTTTACGCATTTGTATTGTTATTGATATTCATAAACGAAAGAAGAACGTTTCTAATATTTTGATGATCAATAAAAATTATCACAGATGCCTGATAAAAAATAAAACAGAAACAGTTTGAAGAGTGAAGATATGACAATCGACTTTAAAAGAGTAAAAAGACAATATCATCAATGTATGTTAGTCGGAGTTAATTAAACATGAATAATTAAGGGTAACTGCAAGAATAACTGCATGGGAAGGGCTACAAGGGAAAAGAAAAAAGGGTTGAGGACGATACTAAATGCTATTGCTGGCCCTAGATGGATACAGGTAGCCCAAAATAGAACCAAACGCGAGGACTTTGAGGAGGCCCTCACCATATTTAATGGGTTCCTGCCAAACTTAGTGAAGATAAATAAACATGAAATGCTTACCGATTTATATTTATTTTGTATTTTGGCAGGAAATAAAAGGCTGTTATCATGATGGAATTTAAATGGGACCGCTCGAGAAAATCGCCAAAATCGATTCACCTAGAAGAAAGCTCTGAGGTTGATGCGCATAAAGAATTAAAACTTCTTCTACTTGTATGTACATTATACTGTATGATAACCAATTGTTTATTGTTCGCAGGTTCGTGTCGTGTGTGGCGTTTTCCCTCGGAACTGTGTTTTTAGGGATAAAATCACGGTGGGGGCAATGAACGGGCAAGTCAATCGACGCATGCGTATAATACGTCGCGAGCGAGTCAAGAAATTCCAAAGAAAAACTAAGAAAATTAATCTAAATCAGTCGGTATTTGTTTAAGACCTATCCGACGGAAAATACCTGATTTTTATTTTTATTGCTTACATGGTTGGACGATGTCATAGCCCACCTGAGTGTTAAAAGGTTACCGGAGCCCATAGACATCTACAACGTAAATGCCGCCACCCACCTTGAGACATGAGTTGTAAGGTCTCACTTTTAACAGTACAAACTTACAGACTTACAGATTTAAAGCATCTAAGTATATAATAATAAACAAAAAAAAATTACATTAAAAAAATATCCTTCAATTAGAAAGTTTAAAGCTAAGAATGCGCTAATTATCCGAATGTTTTTTTTAGGAAGGTAGAATTACTGTTGGCCCCAATGCCTTCCCGGTTTCAACAGGAGATGTGGGCGAGCAAAGGCTCAACCAGAAAGGAGACCCGATTATAAGTCGGACCTTATATTTATGCAATCTTAAAAATGTCGTTATAGCGATTCAGACGTCAGTCAACTGGTTATTTTTTATTGCTTAGATATAGGTGGACGAGCTCACAGCCCACCTGGTTTTAAGTGGTTACTGGAGCCCACAGACATCTACAACGTAAATGCCGCCACTTAGATGGAGAGATATAAATTCTAAGGTCTCAGTTCAGTTACAACGGCTACCCCACCCCCAAACCGAAACGCATTACTGCTCCACAGCAGAAATAGCAGAATAGAATAGCATATTAATCTATTCTGAATTTGATCACAGACTTTAACAATAAACAAAAGAGTATACATATGCGTGTGTGTGTCAAATACTTGGTAGTATGTGTAATGTTTTATTTATTGATTTAATGTCTTTTTTGTACATAATTTTGTAAACATTTTAGCATTCTGCACTCCTTCTCTATATTCTCTATATGTGTGGGAAATTTCATACTCCTCCGTCCGCGCAATTTTCATCAAAAGGGGTACAAAGTTTTTGCTGTATATAGTTGCTTCGATTTTCATTATCCAATTGCGTAAAGGTTATCTGACGTGAAATTGTTTGTCCATGATGTCTTCGTATCTTTTACATCAACTAGCCTCTCTCTGTTTATGTGGCTACTGACGCTTAGCTTGAAGACCATTGGCGACATTGAAAATCTTGTCCGAGATTAGGTTGTTTTGGTCACGTCATCACGCTAAAACTTGATTGACTGGTGGTAGGACGTCTTGTGAGTCCGCACGTTTAGGTACCACCACTCTGTCTATTTCGGCCGTGAAGCAGAATTGCGTTTCGGTTTGAAGGGCGGGGCAGCCGTTGTAACTATGCTTGAGATCTTAGAACTTATATCTCAAAGTGGATGGCGGCATTTACGTTACAGCCACCACTCAACATCAGGTGGGCTATGAGCTCGTCCAGCCATCTAAGCAATTAAAAAAAAGTGTGTGTGTGTGTACAATTCAGTTCAATTCACACACGGTAGAAGTGACACTCTTAAAAAACAAATATAATCGCAAGGGTCAACCACACCGCAGTACAATGGAGCAGCCTCACCCTCGTAGAACTGCCTGAATGCTCACGGTATCCCTACGCCGGGTAAGTATCAATTAGCAAGAGAAATACGAGCACGTCTATCAACTGTGTAACATCTCGTCACCGCGATTCAGGAATTGTTGAATTTACGTGCAGCGGCATCTGTTGATGACAAACTAAATAGAAATAAGATATATGGACTTATTTTTTCGTTTCATCGAGTTTTTTGAAATCACAACGATTCTAAAGGAGTTTCTCTTCAAAAGATTTCATTGAACAGATCCAAACGCGTCAAATTCAAGGTGCTCTTTACGCGTTCGGAAGCGAGGATACAAGGTTGTAGTCAAACAATACCAACGTTTCAGTATGCTTATAGAAGATTGTGTTCAAACTGCATGACCTGAATAGAACTAGGTCGAATTATACAGTTCGCGAGCTCGACCGACCCGATTACCCGCTGCGCATCTGAACCGAAGTAACATAGAAAAGAGCTGCTATTTTTTCCGCTTCGAAGTGTAACGTTATAAAATTGTTATCGAAGACTAGAGTTTTAGAGCACTCAAATAGATGTGGGTCGGATCTGCGTTTGTTTGTGCACGAAAAGTGCAGAGACGCCTTTGACTCTGTCTATAGTAGTGTGGTATAAGACCTTCGGCTGAATGTAGGTCGGATCTATGTCTGTTTGTGTACGAGAACAGCCCGAACAGCCCGGAATCAGTACAGAGCTGCAGAGGACTCTGACTATAGTAGTGTGGTATAGGACCTTCGGCTAGATGTAGGTCGGATCTATGTCTGTTTGTGTACGAGAACAGCCCGAACAGCCCGGAATCAGTACAGAGCTGCAGAGGACTCTGACTATAGTAGTGTGGTATAGGACCTTCGGCTAGATGTAGGTTGGATCTATGTCTGTTTGTGTACGAGAACAGCCCGAACAGCCCGGAATCAGTACAGAGCTGCAGAGGACTGTGTCAATAGTAGTGTGGTATAGGACCTTCGGCTAGATGTAGGTCGGATCTATGTCTGTTTGTGTACGAGAACAGCCCGAACAGCCCGGAATCAGTACAGAGCTGCAGAGGACTGTGTCAATAGTAGTGTGGTATAGGACCCTCGGCTAGATGTAGGTTGGATCTGTGTCTGTTTGTGTATGAGAAGAGCTCGGGATCAGTACAGAGCTGCAGAGGACTGTGTCAATAGTAGTGTGGTATAGGACCCTCGGCTAGATATAGGTCGTATCTGTGTCTGTTTGTGTACGAGAAGAGCTCGGGATCAGTACAGAGCTGCAGAGGACTGTGTCAATAGTAGTGTGGTATAGGACCTTCGGCTAGATATAGGTCGGATCTGTGTCTGTTTGTGTACGAGAAGAGCTCGGGATCAGTACAGAGCTGCAGAGGACTGTGTCAATAGTAGTGTGGTATAGGACCTTCGGCTAGATGTAGGTCGGATCTGTGTCTGTGACGAGAAGAGCTTGGAATCAGTACAGAGCTGCAGAGGACTGTGTCTATAGTAATGTGGTATAGGATCCTCGGCTAGATGTAGGTCGGATGTATCTATAGGTCTGGTGATCAATTCATAGTTGCAGGGGACTGTATGTTGTACCGGAATACTTCTAGTCTAGATGTAGGTCGAATCTATTTACGGTCGCCTAAGGACAATACATTTTATTGTATATAATAAAAATATCACTTATTGCATTGACGTGACCGTAAAACCACGCCTCAGTGTCCGGGTACGCATGCGCGTTGCTATATAGGGGACAACATGGCCGCCGTTACCATGGCAACTCGGATATGTAGGCCACAGCAGTACACGACCTAGATTCAAGAGGCGTCCAAGTTATATGTATCCTTCGTAATAAATCAATTAAGTATATTGACGTTTCAGCTTTCAGCTTCGACGGCACTATTTATGCTGGTGGCAGGGTGTCTTGTGAGTCCGCGCGGGTAGGCACCGCCGTCCTGCCTGTTTCTGCTGTGAAGCAGTAATGCGTTTCGGTTCGAAAGGCGGGGCAGCCGTTGTAACCATACTGATACCTTAGAATATACCTCCCAACCTCCTAAATAGCGACGCAACGAGAAAACTATTAGGTTGTGAATTTTGTTACGTATGCGAACGAGCTCACAGCCCACCTGGCGTTAAGTGGTTACTGGAGCCCATAGACATCTACAACGTAAATGCGCCACCCACCTTGAGATATAAGTTCTAAGGTCTCCGTTTTACAGTACAACGGCTGCCCCACCCTTCAAACCGAAACGCAATACTGCTTCACGGCAGAAACATACCTACCCTCTAGTTAAAAAAAAAAACAAAAACAAACTTACCGTAGTACGTCATGCTGCTCACAAAATGTTCGTTAATCATTCTAAAGCCGCGAGAATTCGTTCACAGCACGAGAAACATAATCTTGACACTTTTTAACGCAACAGACAAATTAATATAGGAACGGTTTCGTGGAAGAACGTGAATTATCACTACATAGTATAAAACAAAGTCGCTTTCTCTGTCCCTATATCTGACTGTCCCTATGCATGCTTAAATCTATAAAACTACGCAACGGATTTTGATGCGGTTTTTTTTAATAGATAAAGAGTGATTGAAGAGGAACGTTTATATGTATAATAACATTCATTAAATAGTGGAGAAATCAATAATAAATTACAGTTTCCGAAGCGAAGCGAGGGCGGGTCGCTAGTTTATCTATATTTTCTATAAGTATACCGTGAATATGTAGGTCTTACTAAAATTACTTTGAAAATTAAATCAAAACAAATAGTAGAAAAGATAGTATGATGATAAAATGCAAATTTTCTGTGAAGACACCCGTCTTGAGAACGTTTGCATACGTTTGCCGCTAGATAAGAGTCGCTGATCCAACTGCACACAAATTTGAGTTAACTTTTACGCTATCGAGAACGTTAAAAAACTCGCACTAAGCACACAGGCTAGTTACTGTGGCTTTTGCGACAGTCAATTCCGTGACGTGATATAGCATTGAGAATCAACGAGAGATGCTATCTTGAATCGATAACTTTATCGTTACATGGATACGTGTTTTTAGACAATATCGTAATCGCGTAGCTTCGTTTATAAGAAGTGTTTGGCGTTAAAACTCGAAGCGATGTTACCGCCTGAGCCCAATGAGTTTCTCGCCGGATCTTCTCAGTGGAACGCCTTTCCCATCCGGTGGTAGATTCTGAGAAGCACTGCTCTTGCTCGTATTAGCAACACCTCCGGTTTGAACCCCGAGGGCTCACCTACATGTAAGGATAACGCTGATATAGCCTCTCAAGGCTATCAGCATAGGTAGTTCGGTTTGAAGGGTGGGGCAGCCGTTGTGACTATACTGAGACCTTAGAACTATATCTCAAGGTGTGTGGCGCATTTACGTTGTAGATGTCTATGGGCTCCAGTAACCACTTAACATCAGGTGGGCTGTGAGCTCGTCCACACAGCTAAGCAATAAAATAAAAAAAAGTAGGTAGGGAAAAAAGAAAAGTAAGACACTTGCTAAGGACAAGTTGTAGGCGTCAGAATTATTTCCAATTCCACTTGGAATTCAAACTTGTTGTTAAATAACATCAATAAATGAATAAGACCAGAATGCCAAGACAACTACTATATGCTAAACCAAAGGGCCGCTGATGTCGTGGCATGTCCAAACTCCGATGGTTAGATAGCGCAGAGCACGACCTCAAAGCTGTCAGGAACTGAAAGGAGAAAGCCCTGAACAGAGCAGTCTGGAGAGGCATACTGGACCAGTCTAAGGCCCACCCTGTGCTCTAAGGCCTAAAATGATCATCAATAAATCACAATTTACGAAATAAAATCACTATCGATGCACGTTTTCTTGTAATAATTCTTCAAGATTAGACATATTTACTGTATTACTAGCTGTCCCGGCAAACATTGTTTTGCCATATATAAGTTTTCTAGGGAATTTCTAGTGTAGAAAAAAAAACTAACTTATTGTAAGTGTGTAAGGATGTGGTAACTGAGTGAAAGAGGCATGTAGCGCTGTGAACGTTGAGGGAATATATAATAAAAATAACAAAACCTCATTCAACCACATAATACCTCATTATAACAAAAAAAAAGTCAAAATAAAAAAAATATGTTAGGGGTGGACAACCCTAATCACTTAGGGGTATGAAAAATAGATAGTAGCCGATTCTCAGGCTTATTGAATATGCATAAAAAAATTCATGAGAATCGGTCAAGCGGTTTCGGAGGAGTATGGGAACGAACATTGTGACACGAGAATTTTATATATTAGATTTAATTTTTGTGCAACGTGAGTTATTGAAAATTTTTAATAAGAAACTACTTTAGTCGAAAGTCACATGTGGTCGCGATCTTCAGCAGTGAGGTAACGATGAAGAAGAATTATGTGATTTAAAGACACAACAACCCTCCTATCGTATTTGTTTATATATCGCGCCTTTAGAATTAATTATGAAGACCCAACTCAAAATATGTGTTTTTTGGAAAACAACGATTAAAGTTCTCAAAACGAAAAAAAACGTAGAGGAAGGGGACGGAGTGAAAGAGACCGATGGATAGCTTTGTCCCTTTATAAGCTACTTCTGGTCATTTGATTACCGAGAGTCGCTGATAATACTAGGTCCATTTTTGAATTTAAGACGAAATCTAAAAATTTCGAAATGGTTTCTATAGTTCTAAAGGTGCGATATTATACTAGCGGTCCGCGTAGCTTAGGATGCGTGATCAAGGAAAATTATCAAGATTCTTATCTAAAGATAATTAAAGAGTTTCCCGGGAAATTGAGAGGGTACTAAGTAACTAATACTATCATTTAAAAACAAAACCACGTCAATCTGTTGCTTCGTTTCCACGTGAAAGAGGGATAAACATCACACACATTCACATTTTCTATTGTTATTAATTTTACGTATGGACACAAGTCCAAATATCCTACTAATATTATAAACGCGAAAGTTTGTTCTGCAAAGCACTGCTCTTACTAGGGCTAGTATTAGCAACGTCCTCAGGTTAGAGCTCCGTCAAATAAACCATAAATAAAAATATGTCTTTGTGGCCTAAAGGATAAGACGTC